GGTTTGCCTCATAGGGTTGTCTTTCTTTGGATGACTCTCTTTGAAATCTAAAAACATGGTTGGAAACCAAACAAACCAAATGGTAGATGTTATAGTGCAAAACTAATTATATTTTATTATTATATCTTTATATTTATACAAAAGTAAAACCTTGGGGTGATGAGGTGGCACCATAAGAATTATAAAATTTAAAACCTTGCGATGATGAGATGACACAATGAGAATTAAGTATTCTCAAATGATGAATTGTGGTTAGGTTTTAGTTCCAACCATGGTATAGATTTCAAAGAAGGTCATCCAAAAAAAGACAATCATATAAGACAAACCCCATTATTTGACACAAAGGCATCCAGTCCACCTTTCTTATACACTTCATTTAGTTCAAATCGTTCAACTCTTCACCAATGTGGGACATCTCAAAATCAACCACAATTCACCAACACTTCAATACTTAATTCTCATGATGCCTCCTCATCACCCCCAAGGTTTTACTTATATATATATATATATATATAATATAATTAATTTTGCACTATAATTTCTACCATTTGGTTTGTTTGGTTTAAACCATAGTTATAGATTTCAAAGAGGTTCATCTAAAGAAAGACAACCCTATGAGACAAACCCATTATTTGACACAAAGACATCCAATTCACCTTTCTTATACACTTCATTTTATTCAAATCTTTCAACTCCTTCACCAATGTGTGATATCTCAAAATCAACCACAATTCACCAACATCTCAATACTTAATCCCCATGATGCCACCTCAATACTCTTGGTTCTTCCTTTAATATATATATATATATATATATATATAAAATTAATTTTGCACTATAATTTCTACCATTTGGTTTGTTTGGTTTCAAACCATGGTTATAAATTTCAAAGAGGTTCATCCAAAGAAAGACAACCCTATGAGGCAAACCCCATTATTTGACATAAAGACATCCAATCCATCTTTTTTATACACTTCATTTTATTCAAATCTTTCAACTCTTGATCAATGTGTGATATCTCAAAATCAACCACAATTCACCAACACCTAAATACTTAATTCTCATGAGGCCACCTCAACACTCTTGGTTCTCCTTTTAATATATATAAATATAGGTTCCTTTAATATATATATATATATATATATATATATATATATATATATATAAAGATATAATATAATATAATATAATTAATTTTGCACTATAATTTCTACCATTTGGTTTGTTTGGTTTTCAACCATGGTTATAGATTTCTGTGACATCCGGAAATTCGAAATCCCAGGTTAGCTATTATTAAGATTATATTAGTATTATTGAAGTTATTTTATAGATTAGGAGTTAGTTAGATTAGTTTAGTTGAGAAATTTTTAGGAATTTCCGGCAGTTGCTTAGAAAGTCCGGTTCCGG